AAGTTTGGGAAATACAGACCTGAGCTATGGCAACATATTTCTTTTCCCAGTCTTTCTTATTTCCAATCAACCTTCTATGCCATTCCCAGAATAATTTAAAACAACTTGGATAAGTTCATTTTCCTATTCATGAATGTTTCGTGAATTTCCACTTTATAAAGAGTAAAACTCAAGGCTGTGTAGCTGGACTTTTGGAGTCCTTTATATCTTCACTCCATATCAGTCTAATTGTTATTTTCAAGACTCACCTTTTTTTTTTTTTTACCACTGTACATTCCTTCATGCTGTTTCTCTGCTGTAAATTCCTTTCTCCTTAGTTTCTGTTGCCATTCAGTCATTCTTTTCTCAAGTATTTATTGAGAGGCTCATGTGCCAGGCACTTTACTATGGGTTAGGACTAAAATGGCTTTTTAATTGAGCTTATACTTATGGGAGGAAGAACAGATATTAAACAGCAGAATAATTCTTCACAGTTACAGTTGCATTAAATACAGTTGCAATGGGATCCCTGGGTGGCGCAGCGGTTTGGCGCCTGCCTTTGGCCCAGGGCGCGATCCTGGAGACCCGGGATCGAATCCCGCATCGGGCTCCCGGTGCATGGAGCCTGCTTCTCCCTCTGCCTGTGTCTCTGCCTCTCTCTCTCTCTCTCTCTCTGTGACTATCATAAATAAATAAAAAAATAAAAAAAAATAAATACAGTTGCAATAAACAGTGTGGTAGAAAAGCAGACAGTGTTACAAAAACAAGTAGGATATCTAGTCTAACTGAGATTGAAGAGGTAGTTTCAAAGATGAACGCTTGGTGAAAATGCAATTGAAGCTGAGATTTAAGTGACTAATAGGATTTAGTTTAGTGATGAAATGGGCAGAGGAGTAATATATGCAAAGGTACTGAGGTGGGAAGAATCTTGGCTCAAGTGTGTTCATTCTTTAATATGCTTATTTTGCCATGAAATTTAAGTATATGTTATCTGCTTATATAGTGGACTGGTCTGTACAAATTTCCTAAAAATATCAAATTATCATGTAGTCCTAGCTCAATGAATTTTTAAAGATACTCTTAAAAAAGGAACTGGCTACAAAGTAAAATATTAGATCCAGGTCTTAAAACTATCCTGGGAATTTATATAGACGTCTCATTTCAATATGAAAATTTGTTTGTGATAGATAAAATATATATGTGTGCTGTATATCTGTATTATTTATTACGTCTTTATACTATATATTATATCATAGTATAAATATGTGATATAAATTAGATAGATTTATACACAAATACCCTGGATAACAAGTGACATCTCATTATTGCTTCTGGCACCAGTCAGAAAGAGGGCCTGTTTGGTACCAGGTACCTTGATCTGCTGTTTACTTTTCTGTCCATTCTCTGATCTGCGTTACAGTTGGCACTGATACCAGTGGGAAAGATGCACAGATGATAAGTTAAAATCACTTTTCTTTTAAAGATTTTGTTTATATGAGAGAGAGAGCAAGCATGAGCAGGAGGTAGAGGCAGAGGGAGAAGTAGACTCCCCACTGAGCAGGGAGCCCAGTGTGGGGCTTGATCCCAGGACTTGGAGATCAAGATCTGAGCTGAAGGCAGACGCCCAACCATCTGAGCCATGATGGTGCCCCTTTTGTTTGTTTTTAAATAAACAGAAATACCTGATTATTTTATGGCAATTCTGTAACAAATATTTTCATGTTTCAAATGTAGAGGTGTCTATATAAAGTGCTATGTCAGCTAAAATTTTTGGTTACAGGTAGAGAAACTAACACTGGTTAGCTTTAATAGAAAAAGAATTTGTTAGTTGAACAATCTGTAGGAAGACTGAAGAATCAGGCTTGGAAAATGGACAAAAATCCAAGGGAGCTAATCCCTGGGTTAGCAGGGAGGACTAACCATAGTCATGCTACAAGAATATGTGTTAGGAAGCCACAGTTTATATACTATTTACTATATATAGATTACTATATACTATATATATATACTATTCCTACTGCCACTTTATTTTGTTTTATCTTTTTATTTTTTTTAATTTTTATTTATTTATGATAGTCACACACACAGAGAGAGAGAGAGACATAGGCAGAGGGAGAAGCAGGCTCCATGCACCTGGAGCCCGACGTGGGATTCAATCCCGGGTCTCCAGGATCGCGCCCTGGGTTAAAGGCAGGCGCTAAACCGCTGCGCCACCCAGGGATCCCCCTACTGCCACTTTAAAATAAATACTTTTTTTTTTTTTTTTTTACTGATAGCATCTTTGTGGTACTAGCTGGAGTTCAAAGTCTAGGATAGGAGTGGTCTGGCCGAGACCTTGCTCTGGCTACCTGGGAAGATCTCCTCCCTTTGTTTTTCTCTTTTGGCCTCCAATCCAGACTCCCATAAAAAGAGATTTGCCCTAAGTAAGAAGGGTGTTTGGACCTAGGAGGATCCCTTAAAAGGGACCACTGTCTTTCACTATTACTCATTAAAATATATTTCTTAACAATTCTATGTGATGATAGGTAGCTATATATTTCTTGAAATATGAATTAAAATTATTAAAGGCATCTCAATTTTTGGAAAACATATGATGGTTTCTGTTTTAAGAAGGGTTGTGGTATTTTACTACAAGAAAATGATTTTGATTCTTTTCAAATTAAAATCATCTAGGTATCCCAAAATTTTATGGTGTAGGCATGACTGAAAAGTCAATTTTTCTGAGAAAAAGAATCCTGGAGTACAGATCTTTTACCTCTTTGGTTAGGTTTATTCCTAGAGATCTTATGGTTTTTGATGCAATTGCTAATGGGATTGATTCCTTGATTTCTCTTTCTGCTGCTTCACTATTGATGTCTAGAAATGCAACAGATTTCTCTATGTTGATTTTGCTCCCTGTGACTTCACCTAATTTGTGTATCAGTTTTAGCAGTTTTTTGGTGGAGTCTTTCAGGTTTTCTATATAGAATATCATGTCATCTGCAAATAGTGAAAGTCTGACTTCCTCCTTACAGATTTGGATGCCCTTTATTTCTTTTTGTTGTCTAATTGCTGTGGCTAGCATTTCCAGTACAATGTTAAATAACAGTGGTGAGAGTGTATATCCTGCCTTGTTCCTGACTACAGAGGAAAAGCTCTTAGTTTTTCCCCATTGATAATATTAGCTGTAGGTATTTTTGTATATGGCCTTCATTATGTTAAGGTATATTCCCTCTAATCCTACTTTGTTTAGGGTTTTTATCATGAATGGATGTTGTACTTTGTCAATTACCAAATTATGGAAAGAGCCCAAATATCCATTGATTGATGAAGGGATAAAGATGATGTGGTGTGTGTGTGTGTGTATACACACATAAATATATACAGGGAAATATGATGCGGATGGAGCTAGAGAGTATTATACTAAGCAAAGTAAGTCGATCAGAGAAAGACAGGTGCCTTTAGTCCTTTGTGAAATTTAAGAAACAAAACAAATGAACATAGGAAAAAGAGAGGCAAACCAAGAAGCAGACTCTTAACTTACAGAGAACAAACTGATGGTTACCAGACGGTGTGTAAGCAGGAAGATGAGTTAAATAGGTAATGAGGATTAAGGAGGGCACTTGTGATGAGCACCGGGATGTTGTATGTAGGTGTTAAATCACTAAATTCTACACCTGAAACTAAGATTATGTTGTATATTAATTATAATTGGAATTTAAATTAAATAAAAGAAAAAGATGGACTCCTGGGTATCTCAGTGGTTGAGCATCTGAGCCTTTAGCTCAGGGTGTGATCTTGGGGTCCTGGGATCAAGTCTTGCATCGGGCTCCCCGCAGAGAGCCTGCTTCTCCCTCTGCCTATGTCTCTGTTTCTCTCTGTGTGTCTCTTAGAAATAAACAAATAAAATCTTTAAAAGAAAGAAAAATAAAAAGAACCCCAGAAAGTAAAAGTGATTGCCAGACAAATGTATATGTTCATTTTTCAATGTTTTCTTGGTGGGCAAAAGTATTTTATATTTAAATTAAAAATGTCTCCAAAATATTGCTATAATTTGTAAGTATAAATAAAACCAAAATGCAAAGTAAACACACATATCCTTATTGCACATCTCAATGAAAGGAATGCCTGGGTTGCTCAGTCAGTTAAGCATCTGACTCTTGGTCTCAGTTCAGGTCTTGATCTCAGGGTTGTGAGTTCACGCCATATATGGGGCTTCCAGGGATCCCTGGGTGGCGCAGCGGTTTGGCGCCTGCCTTTGGCCCAGGGCGCGATCCTGGAGACCCGGGATCGAGTCCCACGTCGGGCTCCCGGTGCATGGAGCCTGCTTCTCCCTCTGCCTGTGTCTCTGCCTCTCTCTCTCTCTCTCTCTCTCTGTGTGACTATCATAAATAAAATAAAAATTAAAAAAAAAATAAAAATATATGGGGCTTCCAGTGTGGAGCTCACTTAAAACAAAATCACCACAACAAAATCTCAATGAAAAAAAAAAAAGTTGCTGAAAAAAATCAAATTAAGACCAGAACTATGGGGATGCCTGGGTGGCTCAGCGGTTGAGTGTTTGCCTTTGGCTCAGGGCATGATCCCGGGATCCCGGATCGAGTCCCACATCGGGCTCCTTGGAGGAAGCCTACTTCTCCCTCTGCCTGTGTCTCTGCCTCCCTGCCCCCTCACCCCCCATGTCTTTCATGAATAAATAAAATCTTAAAAAAAAAAAAAAGACCAGAACTGTGAATTCATTTAGGAAATATTGTACTCTTACCAGTTTTCTTAGCTTATAATTTTTTCATAGTACATTTCGTGAATTACAGCCTTTTTATAAAACAAGTATGTATAAGAAACTATTTCTTTTTATATATGTACATATATAGAAGGAATATATATATATATGTGTGTATGTGTGTGTGTGCTTTGATTCAAAATGTAGATTTGCATTTAAAAATTATTTGGGGAATGTCTCTTACACACATGGATGCATTTGATATAAGGTCTTGACTCCAGAAATAATGTCTCTTTTGTAAGTGAAGATTGTAATATGGCAGATTGATCAAGTACAAACAACATAACTTCTAGATACAGAAATGTTTTCATAATCACAAAAGAATAGTTCTAACCATCAGATTTCTGAGGTTTACTGATGTAGAAATGCATGAATATACATTGCAACTGGCAGGAGAAAATCCGTTTCCAATTGTGGAATTCTTAATCACTTCAGTTGTCACACAGTAAACTTGTTCTAGGTTTTCAGATTCTCTTTCCTAGGACTTCATACATTTTGAGATTTAAAAAAATTCATTCTTTCAATTTTCTGAAATGAGAAAATGAGTTTTATAAACATGCTGTTCTTGTTTTCCAGTGATTGAGTTGACATGTAAAAACATAAGGCAGAAAAAGGAAAGCTGGTTAAACCAGAGACCTCTTATCAAAATACCTCATACAAAATCCTAGCAGAATCTTTTCTGCAAGTCTGTTTTCTCAAAAGATATGTCTTGGATAAAATCTTCTGGCACCCTACCTTGATTATAATGCTTGCTTCAATTTGGGATTTAGACATCTTTGTCCTTTATGTGCTCTCAGGGTGATACTGTTAAGGGAAGATCTAAAACAGTCTTTATTTTGGATGGGAAAACATAGGCAAAACAGAAACACACACAAAACAAAGTTTCCACTACTGTCCTCTTTAGCAAGTTCATTACTTACATCACTTCTATTTTGTCACAGTTGTTACTTGGGTACATTATGGTAGCTTTCTCAATATCTGCCACTTATACTGCTTTTACTCCAGGGCCTATGCAAAGACAGCATCCTCCTTTGAACATGGGGAAACCTAGAATAGATCACAGCATAGTTACTAATACATCCGATTGCCGCAGATGATTATAGCTTATGATCCTGGTGAAGATTATGAGCAGGGTTTTCATTAAGGATGAAGAGCGCAGTTTGTCAAATAGCACTTGACATTGCTGTTACTGGGAAAGGAATATAAGAAAGATACTGATTTTCTCTTTAAATTTGTAAACAGATCTTTAAAGAATAAAAGGGAGCATGAAAGTTTATTGGAGATAAAGATTATTCGCCTATTGTTTTTGTACTCAAGAATTTTTCTAGGGGATCCCTGGGTGGCTCAGTGGTTTAGCGCCAGCCTTCAGCCCAGGGGTATGGTCCTGGAGTCCTGGGATGGAGTCCTGCATCAGGCTCCCTGCATGGAGCCTGCTTTTCCCTCTGCCTATGTCTCTGCCTCTCTCTCTCTCTTTCTCTCTCTCTCTCTCTGTCTCTCATGAATAAATAAATAAATCTTAAAAAAAAAGAATTTTTCTAGCTAGCTAACATTATCTTACATAAAATCTTCTTAACATATATTTAAAATTATTGCTAAAGGTTCTTGCCAGATATTGTAGCCAAATCAAACTCCATGAAGTTTATCATTTCTAGTTTCAGTAATTATCTCTAATGCCTTAAACAGTTCAAGCATTTTCTGTCAAAGCAGTAGTAACTTATATATGAGGTTAAATATTTACTAAATCTTTTAGAAAAGATGAAGACATTTGAAATATTAGAAATTAGATTTATAGGATAAGAAGTAAAAAGTGCCATATACCTTGAGCAGTTGTAGCACAGAATATCCCAGCCAAGGCTGTAACCATGCCCTTCACACTCATGTTTGTCTTTCACTGCTGTTGTTGCTGCTTCCTGTCAATACTCTTTTTGGTGGGAGTAGAAATGCTGAATGTGAGAGGAAGTGGTACTTTTATACACCTAAAATCCTCTTAGGGCAACAGGAATTCCCCTCCTTTAGTCATGCTCTTTTGCTTCCAAGAGTTTCTGTTTTGTTCTCTACATGTCTCTGTCCTTTCCTGTTTTTTACAATGTTGTAAGTAATGGGAATGTGAAAGCACTTTGTAAAGAGTGAAGAGCTATATAAAACAGACTAGGGCACTCCCAAATGGGAATCAGCCTTCTCAAAGTAGCATTTCCTAGAAATGTATTTCATTATGGGATTGACCATGGGCAATAAATTGATTGCCATTCAGTCTTTCATTTAGGAAGATTGTCTTCTATTCTGTCTGTTTACCCTCCATTCTTCAGATCACTACACAAAAGAACATTCTTTTTTTTTTTAATGTTTATTTATTTATTTATGATAGCCACAGAGAGAGAGAGGGAGAGAGAGAGAGAGAGAAGCAGAGACACAGGCAGAGGGAGAAGCAGGCTCCATGCACCGGGAGCCCGACGTGGGATTCCGATCCCGGGTCTCCAGGATCGCGCCCCGGGCCAAAGGCAGGCGCCAAACCGCTGCGCCACCCAGGGATCCCACAAAAGAACATTCTTAAATGTTTCTATCACCTTTTGTTTTTAAGACCAAACTCTCATATGTAAGGCCTACACTAATTGAATTCAAGTGACTTTCATTTAACCTAATTTATATTTATGCTGACTATAATTGCACATCTAAACAAGTCTCTCTACTTCTGAATTTATATCTACTTCTTTTTGCATGTTTAACAGTTTTTACTTTATATATATTTTAGCACTTTTAGAGTATAAAATTGTATTACTTGTGGATTTTTTTTAAATGATCCTCTTTTCTTGTGATGTTTTTACATTTTGCGTTCTATTTTGTTTTCCTTTAATCTTTACCTTTTCCACTTAAGCTTTCTAGAGCTATTTGTTTTATTTTATTTATTTATTTTTTAAAAGATTTTATTTATTTATGAGAGACACAGAGAGAGGGAGGCAGAGGGAGAAGCAGGCTCCGCGCAGGGAGCCCGATGCGGGACTCAATGCAGGACTCGATCCTGGGACTCCAGGATCACGCCGCGGGCCCAAGGCAGTGGGCCAAACTGCTGAGCCACCCAGGGATCCCGAGCTATTTGTTTTAAATGGATTATATGCAGATACCTTAAAATGTCATATGTAAAGGACTTTTAAAGGTAAATTTATTTACTGAATAATTCGTAATCTGTAAAGCTTTTAAAAATGCTTTCTTGCTATTTTCTGTTTTCTTTGTTTAATTTTTTTTTTAAATTCCAGCATAGTTAACATACAGTGTTCTATTAGTTTCAGGTGTACAATATAGTGATTGAAAAATCATTTCCAGGGGCCCCTGGGTGGCTCAGTCAATTGAGCATCTGCCTTTCTTTCAGATTGTGATCCCGGGATTCTGGGATAGAGGGCCATGTCGGGCTCCCTGGTGAGCAGGGAGCCTGCTTCTCCTTCTCCCTCTGCTGCTGCCCCTTGTGTGCTTTCTCACTCTCTCTGTCAAATAAATCTTTAAAAAAAATAATGTACATTATTCAGTGCTTGCATTCTTGATCTTCTTCACCTATTTCACACATCCCCTACTCACCTCCTCTCTGGGAACCATCAGTTTGTTCCCTGTAGTTAAGGGTCAGTGTTTGGTTTGTCTCTTTTTTCCTTTGTATTTTTGCTTGTTTCTTATATTCCACATATGAGTGAGATCATACAGTATTTGTCTTATCTGAGTGACTTATTTTGCTTAGTATTATTCTCTAGATCCATCCATGTTATTGTAATACACACACCCTACATATATATTTTTTTAAGATTTTATTTATTTATTCATGAGAGACATAGAAAGGAGGGGCAGATGTTGTGCCCAAGATTGCGAATCTGAGAAACCACCAAGGAGCCAACACCGATGCAAACACACGAGGGTTTATTTATTTATTTGTTTTTTAAAGATTTATTTATTCATTCAGAGAGAGCAAGAGAGAGGCAGAGACACAGGCAGAGGGAGAAGCAGGTTCCATGCAGGAAGCCCTATGTGGGACTCGATCCTTGGCCTCCAGGATCACACCACAGGCTGCAGGCAGCGCTAAACCGCTGTGCCACCGGGGCTGCCCACGAGGGTTTATTTACAAGCTCGAGCTTGGGTCCAAGTATACCCGACACAGCGGAGCAGGGACTTGGACCCCGAGGTGGGTTTCAGCTTAGTTTTAAGGGCTGGTCTAGGGGGACCTCCAGAAGGGGTGGAGGAATTTCTCAAGTTCTGTTTACATTCTGATATGGGGCTTTCAAGGGCATTGAGCTCTGTTCTCATTCTAATATGGGGCTTCTTGCCACTGGCTTGGGCTCTGTTCTTATTCTAATATGGGGCTTTCTAGGATGTTAAGCTGTAAACTGTTTTCTTCCTATAACTGAAGTAAGGTAAAGTTCAGCTCTTATTCACAGGGGCCTGGGATAGCTGTACTTGTGCTAACTCTGAACTTAAAGTGGAATGGCCTTAATTTTCTCGGCCTCCACACAGAGACACAGGCAGAGGGAGAAGCAGGCTCCCTGCAAGGAGCCCTATGTGGAACTTGATCTGGATTCCAGGATCACGCTCAACCGAAGGCAGATACTCAACCGCTGAGCCACCCGAGCATCCACACCCCACATATTTTTTATACATTCATCTATGGATGGACACTTGTGCTGTTTCCATGATTTGGCTATTGTAAATAATGCTGCAATAAATACAAGGGTGCATATATCTTTTTGAATTAGCATATTCATATTCTTTGCTTAAATACCCAGTAGTGTGATTACTGGATCATATAGTAGTTCTATTTTTTTATTTTTATTTTTTTAAAAGGTTTTATTTATTTAATCGAGAGAGAGAGAGACAGAGGCAGAGACACAGGCAGAGGGAGAAGCAGGCTCCATGCAGGGAGCCTGACATGGGACCTCCAGGATCACGCCCTGGGCTACAGGCAGTGCTAAACCGCTGAGCCACTTGGGCTGCCCAGTAGTTCTATTTTTAACTTTTGGAAGAACCTACATACTTTTTTCCACAGCGAAAGTGTCTTTTCTTGAACACTTTTCTTACGTGACCTGAAAGGAGTACCATTGTTTTACATTTTGTTAGTACTCCATAAACATTTCTTTTACCTTATAGTTTCCCATTATTTACATCAACCATAAATATTATTTTCTGGTTGTTCTTTTGTAAGATGAGAAAATCACTTTCTCTCATGCATTTCCTCCTGTTTCCTAATTCTGTTGCATAATCTGGGACATACAGGTAGTTTACTGTTTTCAGATTATTATTTTATATTACTTAACTTCTGTGAATTATCATTTACATCTTATCCTGAAATTATACATTTATTTACACATTTATTCCACATTTAAATTCTGTTATCAACCAAAAGCTTTTATTTTATTTATTTTTTAAGATTTTATTTATTTATTAGAGAGAGAGAGAGAGAGAGGCAGAGACACAGGCAGAGGGAGAAGCAGGCTCCATGCAGGGAGCCTAAGGTGGGACTCGATCCTGGGTCTCCAGGATCACACCCCGAGGCTGCAGGCAGCACTAAACTGCTGCGCCACCAGGGCTGCCCGATTTCATTCTTTTTATGGCTAAATAACACTCCATTTTATATATATATCGTGTTGTTTTTATCCACTCATGTATGGATGAACACGAGCTGTGTTCATAATTTGACTATTGTAAATAATGCTGCAATAAACATAAGAGTGTACATATCCATTTGAATTAGTGTTTTAATATTCTATGTGTAAATATCCAGTAGTGTGATTACCGAGTCATATGGTAGCTGTATTTTTAATTTTTTGAGGAACTTCCAGACCTCTATACTCTTTACCATAGAGGCTGGACCATATTGCTTTCTTACCAACAGTGCATGAAGGTTCCTATTGCTCTTGTATCCTTGCCAACACTTGTTGTTTCTTGTGTTTTTTATTTTAGCCATTCTGACAGTTGTGAGGTGATATCTCATTGTGATTTTGTTTTGCATTTCCCTGATGATGAGTGATGTTGAACATCTTTTCATGTGATTGTTGACCATCTCTATGTTTTCTTTGGAGAAATGTCTGTTCATGTCTTCTGCCCATTTTTTCATTGGATTATTTGTTTTATTGGCGTTGTCTTTTTTTTTAAGATTTTTTATTTATTTATTCATAGACACACACACACACACACAGAGAGAGAGAGAGAGAGAGAGAGAGAGAGAGAGAGAGGCAGAGACACAGGCAGAGGGAGAAGCAGGCTCCATGCAGGGAGCCCGACGTGGGACTCTATCCTGGGTCCCCAGGATCAGGCCCTGGGCTGCAGGCAGTGCTAAACCACTGCGCCCCGGGGCTGCCGTATTGGTGTTGTCTTTAAGTTCTTTATGTATTCTGAATACTATTTATCAGATGCATTATTTGCAAAATATCTAGGTTGTATTTTAGTCTTGACTGTTTCCTTTTCTGTGCAGAAGCTTTTTATTTTGATGTAGTCCCAGTGGTTTGTGTTTGCTTTTATTTCCCTTGCCTCAGGAGACATATCTAGAAAAATGTTGCTACAGCTGATGTCAGAGAGATTACTGACTGTGCTCTCTTCTAGGATTTTTCTGGTTTCAGGTCTTTAATCCATTTTGAGTATATTTTGTGTATGATGTAAGAAAGTGGGCCAGTTTCATTCTTTTGCACGTAGCTATTCTAGTTTTGCTAACACCGTTTTGTTGAAGAGACTTTTTTTTTCCCCATTGCATATTCTTTTCTCCTTTGTTGAACATTAATTTACCATATAATTGTGGGTTTATTTCTGGGTTTTCTGTTCTTTTCCATCCACCTATGTGTCTATTATTTTTTAAGACATGTGAGGAGTGGCAGAAGGAAAAGAAGAATCTTAAGCAGGCTCTGTGCCCAGTGCAGAGCCTGGCACAGGCCTCAGTCTCACAACCCAGAGATCATGACCTGAGCT